TTATCATCAAAATATAATATTATAATCACTTCTTCTAACTCTAATTCCATTTTTGACGTCTGATTTTGAATTTTATTTCATATTTTGCATTTCAGTTATTACTTTTACTTACTTGATATTTTTCGATAATCTTGCAAATGTACTCGACATCAATGTTTGTCACAGTTTCTGATACTAAAATTGTAGTTGAATACGACAAGATAGCCTGTAATGCTAATAGAATGCCATACATCCAACGTAATGTCGTAGTAAAGTAGCAAACATCATTTTTCATTTTAGCAATTTGTTGGGGGTTCAGATAGTTAATAATACTAGAATGCCTGACCTCAACAGCTTTCGGCATACCCGAGGTACCTGAAGAAGGAACAATGATACTAATTTCGTCCAGGTTATCAATTGGAGTACACTCAAATTCTTCAATATCGCGACTATCGTTATCTTTTATTATATCATCCATCGACTCGTATCCATCTAGTTTGCCAAGAATCACTATTTTTACATCCAGTTGCAGTTCCTTTGCTGCTTCCTTTAAAATCGCGGCCGATACTGGTATCGTAAAAATTATTTTTGGCGACGACGATGAGAGAAAGTTTCGTGCTGTCACTGAAATTGAACGAAATTGAAATCATTAAATAATTGAATAATAACGGTACCTATGGATTTGAATTCTTTAATAAAATAATACTTAAATCTTATGACTCACAATGAAATTTTTATTGTACTTATTTTTTGACGAATCTGTTTCATAATTTTGTAAAACTATATTTAACTTTTTATTATCGATAACAATGTGTAGCAATACACATATTTTTGACTCGTGTTTTTTAACACATTTTTGTATAATAGGAATATCACATAGTCGTAATAGAAATAGTGATAATAAATTAGATTACGTACTTAAGAAGAGCTCATAATCCCACGTATGGCATATTCCATTTAAGTATAGAATGCCCAACAATGCTATAATCGCGTCTAGGTTATTATTGGTACAAAGACCGATTACATCGCCCGGTTTCATGCCCTGTTGCTGCAACCAACGTGCGCATTTAATACTGCGCTTACTTATATCGGCATAAGTGTACTGTTTGCCCG